ATTTTTTTTTTTTTCCTGATAAATTTCCCCTTATATTTTCTTTGTCACTTTCTCTATAATCTCCAGTCTTTTTTCTTTTCACAAAGCTACACAATTTCCACCCTTTTACTGATTTATCTCACATTTATAATTCATTATTACATAATCCATAACACTATGTTTTGATTTATGTATTACTATAGTTTGTTAGTTTTTTCTACACCATTAGGTATTTGTTTTTCTTTCTTTCAGGGAAGTTTTAATTTCTGTTGCCATGTTTTTGATTGGCCTATTGTGTTTTGTCTGACACCGTGTCTTTGCACCTCGATGCAACTGATGGGCATGGGAGAGAAAACCCGGCTACAGATAGACAGACAGACAGCTGAAAAAGTTGAAAACATTCAACATTCACTTTAATGGTTCGTTTTTTTGTTTTTTTTTATACTATTGTTTTTTGAGTACAGTGGTTATTTTTGCCTTTGTGGCATTCACAGATAAAGACATACACAAATAATAACTGGGAACAACACATATAGCTTTGTGATAATATCTGTGGCTCAGTCTAGTTGTTACAGCAGGTACGAGGACGACACTCTGCACCTGTACATACACTTACACAAACAAATACATCTGTCCAACACTTGGACCTAATACTTTTAAAATTCTGTGTGGTTCATAGAATGACATCTATTTACATACAGTTTGTAAAATTAGCATCTAAGACAGAATCATAGTGTATGAGTTTGAAGTTAATAAAAATAAACACTGATTATTCAAACTTGTAATAAAAAATATAACATAGTTTATATTCAGAAGGTTACTCATGGTCAAGTGCTATTAATTACTATGTACAGGAGAGCATATTCTCCTGTCTGAGTGGCATAATCAAGGTGCAGCTCAGAGATTGGAGTCCAGGGGGCAAAAGTCCATGGTTACAAAATTTCAGTCAAGCCTCCACCTTTTGAGAAAAGTGGTTTGTACAGAAAAGTGGCAAGTACAGAAAAGTGGCATTGTAGAGAAATGGACAAACCAGGTCAGACTCCTTCCAGTCGCCACCTCGGTTACTCAAAAGAGAACAATAGCATTGTATTACAGCACAATGTGGGATTTTTCTTTGAGAACACATCGGAAAAGGTTAAGTGGAGGTGATGCCAGGCAGTCTGATGGGGAGACTGGCATCTCATCACACTCAGAGGTAAAGATGGTCAGAAGTTTAGGCAAGCGCTTGTCTGTCATTTCTGCCAGTTCTGCTGATTTGTGCAAAGCTGTCCTCCCATCTGAGGTGGTGTGTCTAAGTTCACAGCTGCTTGTTGATATTTTGCCAGTCGAACAGAGAGGCATAAATATAGCAGAGGAAGGCATCTTTTCATTCAACATCCAGGATCAAAGAGGGATTAGATGCGTTCAAAAAGCTGAGAGAAATGCTAAAACCATCCTCTTTGGGGAAATAAAATCAAACTGAAAAAGTTTACAAATTAGCAGCTTATTAAAATGACATTGAAAAATAGATATATTTTATATTTATATAAAAATCTCTGAAAAATTCACTCTTTTCACTGGGCAGGCTTTACGTACCGCCATATGTGCTCCTTGCATTTCACGAGTTTGAAATAATGTTATATGTATCTACATCAGCACATGAATCAGTACGTAAGGATGTATGAGCTTGCGTTAGATTGTACTCATCTATCAAATCCTTGACTCGAAATGATTCCCTCAACTTATATCCTAAACTTTATTCCTTCCCTATCTGCTGCTGTTTTTCTTTTGCAGTCCATCTTCTCTTTGTCCGTCTCCTGATACTACCTGCTAGCAAACCGTTTGCTGGCTGGACAGTGGACTCTCCAGGGACATGCTTGTTGGAGACAGGTCTGGACGGGTGCAGGGCTTAAACATGGATGAGATGTGAAAAGCCTGCAGACAGATATATATATAAAAAATGTCAGGAGATATACACAGACCCCACATTAGAGAGCAGAGTTTGAAAGTGGAAATAGACTGTTTAACCCAACTCGCCATGAAACAGACAGAAATGTAAGTGGAAAAATAACCCTGGACATACCACCCAGTATGCAGTGAGCCCTCCTTGTATAAAGCCAGTTAGGACATCAGTGGGGTGGTGGCGGTAGTCAGAGATGCGACTCAGGCCTGTGTAGATGGCCAACATCACTAAGAGGAACTGCACCAGTGGGCGCAATAATCGAGCTCCTCGCCATGACAGCCTAGCCTGCAGGTAGAACTGCAGAAAAAAAAACAAGATAAATACTGCTATTATTCACTCTGGATATTATTAATATATGCATGTAGATACTTGGGTGCTAATGCATGTCCCAAACACATAAAACTGTGATTATGTTTAATGACTAAAGTTCTGTAAACGGAGACAAAGTACTTTAAGTGAAAGATGAGCATTCGACTCAGTCTGAAACCCAGGGGGGAAACAGAATCTTGGCATGACTCCATAAACAGTTCTGATTCTGCGTTTCATCCTTATACTCATCAACCGCATAGGAGCTGAGGGGAACATGGAAAACTGTAGTTTTAAAATTAGTTTCGAGAGGCAGGAAAAGCTTTATGAAGTCATCAGAGGTCTGTCTGGGTTTATCAGACACTAGAGCCCACATACCTAAGTGTGGACCTTCATCGGGTTTTTCTTTACTTCCACTATGATCAGGTGTTACTCCTGGTGCTCTTTGCACAAGCAGCTGGCTACAGTCCTAGAGGCATGTGCCTACAGGTCGGAGCCGTCTGCAGACGACTGAAACATTAAGAAGGAACAGACCAATGTGCAAAGCTGTCTGTCTGAACACTCCAGTTCCTTCTCTTTTTTTTAGCCCCATTACAATAATTAAATACATTTTCGTTCAATTTTTGTTTACTTAACAAAGTATTGCATAACTGTAAATTTAAAGGAAAGAAGAGTGAATTAATTTTTTATATACTTTTGCTCCTTCCAGAATCAATGGTTTCAGCTTTTACAGCTTTTGTAGGATGTTTCCAACAGTGTTGTGACACCTAGAGACTAAATAACTGCCAATTACCTGCTAAATATATAGTCTTGTAGGATTGTTTCCCTGATGGGAGGTGAACTTCCTATCCACTCTCACACAAACTGCAGCCTTTTACATATTTTCTTCCCTTTCCCTGCTAAGAGGACACATTCCCATACCATGATGCTGCCTTGACAATATTTCACTGTGGGGCCAATCACCCTAATACCCAGCACTATGTTAAGATTGAATGAAATGTCATCTTTATTCAGTCAATTTAGTGATACGTTTCTGGCTGCTGCAGTTTTGTAGCTTTCTGTGGACTTAAGCTTTGGATCTATACAGCTCCTCCAGAGTTACTCTGGATTTCTGGGGTGCTTGTCTCAAAATCAATCTCCCATTTTAATCTGACAGTTTTTCTATACTTTTTTGAGAGGTCAGTGACTAAGGGAATACGTAATAACTTCCCTTTTAATTTTTCTCTTTGGCGTTCAACTAAACTACATACATGGATAGTTTATTTAAAGGGGAAATCTAAGGTGGTGGACATTATTTTAAAGTGTTATATTGAGCAAGATGCAAATGGAGTCCACACTTTTCAGTTTCTTATTTGTAGAAAATGTTTTAAAAGTTCTTATTTCTTTTGTCTGCATCACAATAACCTCAAAACAAAAAGCACATTCCATAAAATATTAGTAAAATTAACGGATAATATTTTCCAGAGATTTAAAATGAACTAATCAAATAATGGAGAAGCAGCTGTGAACATGGAAATACCAAGTTCATCTGAAATGATCAGTTATTGATTAATTATAGATCATCAACAAGGAATCTGGAGAGCCTGTGGAAAATGACAGGCTTTTGTCACTCTACAACTTTTTTTTTCTTTCTCACAAAGCAGCCATGAGCACTGGACAGTGCATTCAAAGGGAGAGATGAAGAGATAGAGGGGTGGGGGGGCTTGAACTGGAGAAGGGGGTTTAGAGGGTGTCTATTGCTGAAAGAAGCCTGTCGATCTCTCAGCAGGCATTTTTCAGCCCTCCACCCCCTCTGCTAAATGAGAACCAAAACAAGGCCTCCTCTGTTTGTGGAGTCTCTTCATCTATTCATGCTCCCTGTGGAAAACAGCCCCCCCATCCCCCTCCCCCCATCTCACTGTTTTTCGATTTCAGGCAGGATGCATGTAGAGAACTGCGGCTCCCAAACATCCCCTCCTTCACAATCAGGAGTTAATGTATTAAACAGCACATGTCCCCCTGTGTCTGTTTATCCAGATTGACTTGGTTCATAATGCTTGCAAAATTTAGTTCCCTAACCTCAAGGGGATCCGCGTTTCAAGGTTCTAATAACTAAAGAGAAAGGTGTAGCTGTAGCATTTAGAATAAACAAATCTCAGTACCAGAAAGGGTGATTGCACCACATGCACTCACAAGTGAAAGTGAAGGTCACATTTGTGAATAATTTCTTGGAAATATGTGTAACGGTAAATTACTTACGGCCAAATAGAGCATGGTGTACATTGCAAAGGAAGCATGCCCAGAAAAAAAGGATTTCCTGAAAGAGAAGATCAATAAGAGATGCCACATGTTAAACATTAACTGCTTGAGCTAACTTAGAAGTGTATATGACCCACCCTTGGTAAACACTTCACCTTGGAATAAAAACAATAAAAAAATAAAGAACACACAGACACGCACCTTGCCTCCTCCACTAGCTTGAGTTTTGGCTGCGGACAGTTGACCTCAGGGATGTAGCTGCCAGGAGTGCATTTAATGGATGCATACGTGATGTTGCACACAGAGAGGAAGTTTGGTCGCAGGCGCCCCACACTAAGCTTGGCCATGTTTGTGAGAGACTGTCCCACACAACAACCAAACAGGAAGCTTCCCAGTTCCTTGTACAGGCATGACACGTAGCGGTTACTAACAAAAGCTCGTGAGTGTACACCTCGGAAACGCACCCGGTAGCACTCGCCCAGAGCAATCTGGAACAGAAACAAGAGGAATTGGCATGTTAAAGCCACAATGGTGAATAAAAATACGAGAAAATTAGGTAACATCAGCCTTACTGTTAAACCAGTGATGGCGATGCCACCTGCAATGAGCAGGGTGTCAGGGATGGCCTCCTTCTCTAAATATGGATAGGTGATGCTGTCATCTCCGCAGAAAAAGCCTCTCTTATACGGAGTCACTGCCTTCAGTTCACATGCAAAAAATGGGATGGAAGCTGGTAAGAAAAAGAGAAGGAAAGAGAGTGATCAGTAAAATGAAGACAAATAAAAACAAAAGATAGCTTCATCACTCTCTGAGATGTGGATTTTTAAACATGGATCACAGAGACACATAGAAGTGAGGGGTCGGCAGGCTTAAAACAGAGACAAAGAGGCTGCTGGGAGCATACAAGGTGGCTTCTTTCTGATTCATGTCAGTAGATAGATGTCAGCAAGGTAAGCCAGGATATCAAATGTCAGCCATTTTGGTACAAGATCTGCAAATAGCTGGGAAAAGACATTCCATGCATATCTGCATCTACCTGAGGAGCAGAGGGAAGGAACAGGGTTGACAGACAAAAGAGACGGAAAATTAGTATGTCACTGGGAAGTTCAGGAGAAGTGGAAAATCTGAAAGAGGAAGAAGGAAGAAGGTATTAGAGACCATGGCAACAAAAAAAAATGAAGAACTTCAAAGGGCTAAAAGAATAAATAGTTTAGAAAAAAAAGTGTGATTGTGTAATCCAAAAATAGGAGCCTGGTAACTGATTACCAAAACCAGGTCAAAGTCCGTGTAACTGCCGACCGTATGAAAACAGACAGCAGTCAGATGGTGAAAGTTAAAACTTATGCAATCCTTTGGGGACAAGAGTAAAGATCCTGTTTTAGTATACGAATGTTGGCTCATTTGTGAATTCAATCTAGAAGCCAATAACCTTGTAAAGGATTACCCAGAATCCAACATTTCTTTATCCCATGTCCCCCTGTCCCTTTGTGGAATGCAGTGAGACCGTAGGACTAATCATTAACCTCTGCAGCTCCTTCTCATCCCAGGCCTGCTTGTTGGCTGGAACACAGCCGGGCCAAAAAATACTGCGGCTGCCAGGGAATCTCGGACTACGTGACTTTGTAGTGCAAAGGATGCACACTTTAACACAAGGCAAAAGGCACAACCAGGAAACACAATACAAAACCTCAAAAACACAAACTGTGGTCTGCAAAACATGTCTATAAGGTTTAGACATAATCTTTCCAGCCCACATTCTGTTTTGTTTTGTTTTCACATTCATTCAACCTCTCTGTACTGAAAAATAGTAATCACTATAATAATCTTCTTAAAATGTTGACTGCATCTAAGATATAGCACACTAAATTAATTTTACAAGGTCCTGCTCCGGTGCGGATTTGATGTTTGAACTCTGTTTAACGTCAAGCTGCCCTCAAAGAGACAAAACACAGCCATGTTTAAGAAGTTCAGCAGGAAAGAAGAGAGGAAAACCCTCTGCACAGATAGCGATGGCTGTGACGCCAACAAAGAGAGGGAGACAGATATGAGACACCTCTCATCTGACCCCAATCTCTCACTCACATCGTTCAGTCACCATGTATATACAGGGAGCACATCACAAATCCACTCACCTCCCACAGGTATCCTTTCATCATTTATGTTTAGCTTTTAGTTTAACTTCTCTGATTTTACATAAAAAACAGGTAAAACCACTAAACCTTAACATTAAATTTATACAGTGCAAGTATTTTAACTAAGCCTAGAGAAATCACATGATTGTTATGAAGCAGGGTTTTTTTTATAACATAATGCCCCCATGGAGGCTTTGTTATCCAGAAAGACCACACAGACACTTCGTCTACATACTAGGTAAAGAACATTTCCATCGCTTTGCAACAAGATTCATATCTCAAGTGCTTTTTCAAATTTTTCAGTTATATTTAGTTTTTTCACAGATCAACGTTAAGTAGTCCATAACGGCAAAATGAAAGGAAACAGGACCAATAAAACTAAAGAGGCTACCATGCATTTAAACCCACCTCATGTTTAAACCTCGTACAACCACCTCAAAAAGCAAAAAGAACAGGTTTCTTTTTTTTGCTTGGCACATCAATATTAGCTCTATGATTTTTTTTTCTGTAACTGGATTGGATGGCAAGTGTTTCTGAATAGTAATTTTCAAGATTCAAGTTTACCTTTATCCAAATATTAACTCTACTTGGACTCTAGAATACATTGCATTTGCAATACAATTGCATTTTTAAATGATCAAATAGGGATTATATTATATTTTTAATCTAATTACTTTTAACAATAATGAGACACTGCTGACCACAGCCCTTAAGGTTGTGTTTATATGTTTAAAGTGTTTTTTCCACCATACAGAAGGGAATAAAAAGTAAGCACCTTTTACACGTAACAGAAGTTTCTAGCAAAAATCGACACTGGAAAATGGAGCAGTCAAGGCAATGAAAATAAAACCATGGAGGAAAACACGTTTATGTTTGTGGTCAGAGTGAAGGAAAATGGAAATAAATCATAATTACAAATTTGGTAAAAAAGGGTATTTCAATTTTGATGCTTGGCAAAGTCAAACTTCCCTGTCCCTGCAGAGGAAAGGTATCCTACAGTACAAGCACGGCACTGTCACTACCCTGCTTTGCAATGGAGAATGTGTGCTCAGTGTTATTTTCAATGTCATGTTTCTGCACAGCTGCTCAGTGTCGCACTGGGTAGCACTGCTGCCTTGCGACAAGAAAGTTCCGGGTTTGATTCCCGGTCTGGGGTTTTCTCCATGGAGTTTGCATGTTCTACCTGTGCATGCGTGGGTTCTCTCTGGTTACTCTGGCCAAAAACATGACTGTTAGGTTAATTGGCTTCTCTAAATTCTCCTTAGGTGTGAGTGTGTGTCTTTTTTCTTCATAGCCTTTATTAGACTGCAAACAAAACCTCTTTAACCTTCCCATCCACCTCTACATAAAAAGACCAGATGTGTCTGATGGCAACCCTATCAGCATATTATCCAACCTGAAGAGTAGATCTCTGCTCCCAGCTTCTTCTCTGATACATACTCTCTTTGTTTCTGTTTACAAAAGCTTTTTCCACTTCCAAAAGTTTTGAAAATGTGTTTTGAAGATTTGTACAGTTCACTTTCCACTCTACAGTTATGCACAACCTTGTGTTGGTTTGTCAGATAAAACCCAGAGCTAAAACATTAAATTGTTGGAAAAGTATATTCAGTTTAGAAATGGTGTAAGGTATTCCTCACTTGAAGATGATAGTAAATGAAAGATGAATACAAATCTGATGGATTTTTTTATATCATTTTATAAATACTGACAAACTGCTAGGTCACATCATTGTTTTTAAGATGTACAGGCTGTGTCCTCTAAGACAATCACCATTTGATCATAATTGACATAAGGCAAAAGTAACTGAGACGTTTTTGTGAGAAACAGAGACAGAGGCTTTTTGCTTGTCCATGAAATCCATTAACAGCCCCTTTTGGCCGCCTCATCAGCTTTTACAATATAGCCAGTCCTTTTTCATCAATCAATATGTTGCTGCATTGACAGAGAGATAATGGATAAGTCCACCATTAGGGCACAGACACATCGCTGTTACACAATGAACATGGAGTTTTTAAGGGGTCATTTTCGATGTTCACTATCTAATGGGACCTACAGTATGAAATGCTGAGCCAGACAGAGGTATGTTTTATCAACTAGTGGGTGCCAATAGGAAGGCTTGTGTTATTTTCCTGTTTTTGCATTAGGTGCAGCTTGCATATAATATGCATTGATAAACAGACAGTAAAATGACGTACAGTGCTGCAGCTTCACTGGAAGTAAAAACACAAAGTTTACCTTCATCATCTGGTGAATCATAAATTCAAATCGAACTGATTAACTTAAGAACACAAACCAAATGCACAAGCATACTGTAGCTGCATGTTAAAAGCCCTTGTGTCACTGCCAACCCCTGTGCTTTGCAGCTAGACTAACTGTTTTCACAACAAGGCACAAAAACCCTCTAGAGAGTGTCATATCATCTGTCAGGCAGCTGTGAGCCAACCTCTGCACCTGGCCCGGCCATGCTGAAAGAAAGCAAGAACAGGAGGCACTATGAAAACCAAAGGAGGCAGAAGGAGGCTGAGAAGTGGTTCGGCTCAAGCAGCTGAGCTAAAATGTGCTCCTATCTGGGCCCGTCTTTCAGAGCCAGAATGCTTTATAATAGTCAAAAGGGATAGAAAGAAAGAAGGGGGAAGAGGAGGGGACATGCCTCATTCTGAGAAACGTTTCTGGTTCTAATTTACACATCTATGACCACAGCCCAGAATGAGCTCACTGTGAGAAGAGAAAAACAACAACCAACAATAAGAAAATAACAAGGACGTAATTAAAGATTGCAAGCAAATTATAGATGTTCCCTGTCATGAAGTGTCAAAGTAAGAATAGGCAAAAATGTGCAGTCAGTGGAACGATTATTGATCATATGGTCAGCAATGGATGAAAAATTCAGTCGACAGAGAAACGAAAGATGCAACGAGGGCTTCTCCAAGAAGAACATGCACACGGAGGCGATTAGTGGTGGTTTTGGAATGTGAGGGTCAGGGATCTGGGCTCTGCTGGGACCCGCTCAGTAAACACCACCCCGCCTCAAACAAGAGAATACCCCTTACATGCCTTCAGAGAATCATATACACTTTAAAACCCACAATTAGATACAAATAAGCCTGAACCCGCAGACTAATACACAACTAAACATGCTGTAGGCATTGAAAGGGACAGATATATCCATTTGGAAGTAAATTATCTACCAAGATATATCACTAAAGGAGTAAACAATAAAAATTAGAACTAGTTCTAAGGACATACATTCCAGCTGCTCTTACACAGTCAGATACCCATAGATAACCTCTGTGTACTCTGCCTCTGTCTGATGCAACCTCACAGATAGTGGCATGCCCTGAAGTTAGATCTAATGGCCACCTGTGTCATTGCACCCAATAATACTGGATGGAATAGGCCTGGATCTGCAACCTTTGACAGAAGTGGTGGACATATAATTAGTTACCGGTCAACACAGGTCCATCTGGCCTGCAGCTTTGGACTGAGCTATGCAGCCATCCTAACAGATGGTTCATGTCCAGCAGGCCTTTTACCACCATGTGTGTGCTGACATTTTTAAAGTAAAGTTTAAGCTTAATCTATTTCTTCAGGTCTACAC